TACACACACACACACACACACATATATATATGCATACACATACACACATACACACACAGAAAGCGAGTGAGAGAGAGAAAGAGAGAAGTTTTGTACTCGTTTGACGTGTCCTACGTAACTAGTAAACGTCTTCCTTCTAGCGGTTACAAATTATGAGCTGAAAGTAGGGCTTTCGTGCAATACGTGTAAAACTTCGACGATTTTGTAATTTTCGAAATTACACTACTATGCGTCTGTCTCAAGTGGAATAGTGGGTCTCGATTTTCGAAGGATCTCTGCAAGGTCTCTGGAAGACGTCTTGAAAATCCCTCAGATCTTCGTGATCTCCTTTAAATATCTAGATGGACTAAGGTGCGCGTACTCAGCTTCATTTAGCACATTGTGAATGTTTGTATGAATAATTCGAAACTATTGAGAGCAGTACAAAGATATGCAAGAACGACATTTTGTCCTTAATTTTTTATATAATATATCGAATGCTATTGTGCGTGGGTGATTAGCACCTGTGTATCATGACATAGTTGAAGGAATCGTACGCGTATTACACTCATTTATTCGTGTAAATATCACCATCAGAATGGACTTGCGTTTCTAAAAAATTAGTAGAATCAAAATAGGCAGAGAGAGCTAGCAATTTATACAATCGAGCTCTATGTGAATCGGATTCTACGGAGCCTATCTCACATCTTACATTTATATTTATTATTTATTCATATGGAAAGGTATGAGCGAGACAAGTGAAAAACATTGTGTACTATTGTACAGAAAAACAAATAAACTGCACATTAATACAATTTTACAGATGTCAATAGCAACTGTCAAACTATTCATTTAAGAGATAGGATAAAGAAGACATCTATAAAAAGACATCCACAAGTTTTATGATATAGAGGTTATTATAAACAAGAATAATAAATTTTTAACATCTATTTCTTATATATTTGTTAATTTTATAATTTGTACAGATAATTTGTATATAATTTACTTTTCAATTTTTGTGTCGATACAAGAAATTCAAGCTTCAATCCACCTCTTCTGGTCTTACAGGATGTGTTAATGGAATCATAGATTTCTTTTTTACATCTTTTGATAAGGCTTTTCTCATATCTAAAAATAAGATGATATCTATTATATCTCACACATATATAAATTTATTTTAGATTTTATAGAGAACTCTGTACCATATGCATCTTCATCTGGGTCTCCATTGTAATATTCTAATACTGTTCTATACACAATGTATCCTAATTGTTGATACATTGTAATAGCCACCTTGTTGCTTACTCTAACAAAGAGATCCACGAAATACGCCTGTTTCCTAATTTAAATAAAAATATATATGTAACAAAAAGTATCAATAAGATCACAACTAACTAGATATAATAAATTATAGTTTACTTTTCTGAAACGTCCTCAAGATATTTCATCAACATTGCAGCAAGACCTAATCTTCTGTAATCAGGAGAAACTGTGAGGGCTGTTACATGACCATGCCAATTTTCTCCATGACCTTCAGCCTTTCCCATAACTTTGATGATTTCAAATAATAATATTAACTTTAAATAATGAAAACTTGTTTTATTCACAAGAATATATTGGAAATAAATAAACTTACTGTAACCCATAATTTCACCACTTGGAGATTCTGCCACTTGAATGTATTCTGGCCAATGTGAAAGATAATGCATATAAAACGAAAGTCCATACTAAGTAGAAATGCAACAAATCAAGGAATATACATTGAAAAGTTTTAATATTATATTAATAAAATGTAATTCATAATTTAAAAACTTTTTAGTTTCCCATTAGAGGCTTTTTGGAAAATGTTATTATAAATAAAATAATTTTAAATAAAATTATTCATAAATAAAAAGGTTTTAAAATAATCTTTTTCTGAGATTTATCATTTTATTTTAAAAACTCAGATGTTTATATGATGATTAATCTAACTTTTGTAGATTTATATATGATAAAGCACATGCTAATAGTGTTATTAATTTTATGTTAAGTAAAATAAAGGATACTGTTTCTGTGAGTGGATCCAAATTCCTGAAAATAACACATATAATCATAACAATTGACAACAATGAAAAATTGTTTAACTGAATTTTAGGTTAGAAGAAAAGAACATGTCAAAAATTACTTACACGTTATTAAATTTGAACAAATCATTGCATGTGAAGGGTCTAAGTGTCGTCATTTTCAAAAGTTGTAAACGAAATAATTTACTTTATTCACTTGTCGAGAAAATTTAGTTCAAAACAGATTAGTAAAGACATTTAGAACAATTTCTACTGTCCCATGCTCATGACACAGTATATACAGTAGCGCAACTCAGTCGGCACCTTTGATGTTAGTGTTGGCCAAAATGGAGTACGCATGCGTGAAATAAGTAAGTTACCTAGCGTTGCCACAGTTACCACCTAAACTTCATTCTCTTTTCATCCTTTTTTCACTCTGTCAAAATTCCTCGCAAAATACTCACTAGGTTTATTCGCATCGCAATCCAACAAATTCGTTGAAATGAGTAAGTGTTATTGTAGAAACATATTGGAGCATATTAGAGCATGTGACGCGAATAAGCTTAATATTGCAATAAAATAATTTAAACTTTATTTATAAAAATTAATAAAAATAAATTGTAAATATAATAAAAAATATAGAAAAATTAGGAAAAAAATTAAAAATGTATATTTATATAAAGAAATATTATGTAATTATATATCTATGAAAACGTTATGAGAATATTACGAGCTGACATAAAAAAAATTTATATACATATATGTCCAAAAAAAGTATAAAATATAATAAATAAAAAGAAATCTTTCTTGCTCAGTTTTCTATTTACATCGTGAGTTGCTCATTGCGCAGCCGGCAGATCCGATGCGCAGAGACTGTCAAATCTGATACCTAAAAGAACGCACCCATCATGTTATCCCTTCCACCATGGATACTATTTAAAGATCCTCAGCCCTGGGCAAATTTTTGTGACTATTATTGGAGCCCAGGGATAATTGAAAAACGATGACGTTACTGACAATTAATAAAAATTTATGATTATTAACATAAATATTTCGATGACACATTATTAAATTCGTGATTTTTTTATTAAATAAAAGCTGTATAAATAATTGTGTATACTTTTAATAATATAATATCTTATTATTGCCGAAAAATTACAATTTTTTTTCTGCATTTATCATCTCTATTGATAATCAAATGGATGACATCATTAAAATTAGTTTTAAATAAAAATCAATTATTATTAAGTTTTAAGTTTTTATGTATATGTCTACAAAACTAATAAATTATGAAATTAGAACCGTATAACTAATTTATTACTCTTAATCATTTAAATTTTAACAGGCACGCGAATTTCCATAAAATAATAATATTTATATTAATAATCATACATTTTTATTAATTATCGGTGACGCCATTATTCTTCAATTATCCCCTTGCACGACTACTCATTGATAGTAACGAAAATTTGCCCAGGGCTGAGGGTTTTAATAGTATCTCGTTGGTGTTTTTATCTTTTATCATGATGTGGTCAGTCTATTAACATCTTGTGGCTGCGTTCAGAAATTACACCCAGATGACTCTGAGCTATAGGTTACGTCACGTATATTATAAAAATGTACTAGAGTTATCTAGGCGTAATTCTTTCTGAACGCCTTTTTGATCTGCTACCAATCTGTCGACATCCTGCTAACATTTTGCTGAGAGTATCTCGTCGATGTTTATGTTAATAATCACAAATTTATATCAATCATTTATATCATTTA